CCCGGTGCCCAACCTGCCACATCCAACTTGATCATCCGGTGGCCCATATGGACGGAATGAGTAACGAATCCACTGAAGAATATCAGTACAATGCAGCTCAATGTTTGCGAATAAGATGGAACAATGAAGCGAGGTAATTTAAAGCCAATAAGGATGTTACTTACCCATGATACAACACTACCTCGACCTTCTGTGAGTTTGGGTGTACCTGAAATGAGAGGTCGAATTGGCCGCCAGGAGTAACTGTCTTCGAGGAAAGGACAATGTTGGTCGGACGTTGGTTGGCTCTCTCGCCCTGGAGATACGGAGGAACATAGGTCTCAACCCGGAAGTCAGTGACAAACGGATTTGCTGCGTCAGGTTGAAGTATGGGCATCTCTACTGGGTTGGAACCAGTTACCATGATTGTACCGTCAAGAAGGAGAAGAGCAACTGAATGATAGAGTCGAGCAATTCCGGAGCTGGCGAGCGTTGACCATCGTTGACCAAGCGGCTTGGCGGGGTCGTACAAAAGAGCTTCATGTGTTGGAGCTGCCATGAGTCCGAATCCTTGAGCCCCGCGATTTCCGCCGTTGAGCCAAACGACTGTGCCGTCTGGAAGCAAAATGCCTTCAACCATTCCACGGCCCTCAGGCATTGCGTCCATCTCCCATTGTGGGTTGGCACTCAGTGGTTGAATGCGTCCACAGCTGGGATCTGTCGGGCTGGTAATATCTTGATATGCACCGCCACCGCAGATGATGATGTCTGGATTCCCTGGTGGAAGTTAGCAATTGCTCGATATCGATTGTTCCGGGAGGATTGAGAGACTGATATTGATTGTTCCAGGAGGGTTGGGACCCTATCCCCCAGGACAACACCTACAATTATTGGCACTAGAAAGTGGCAGCAGCACACTTCCACCAGTGTTCGGGTATGTACGGTAATCTCCTGGGAGATCCGGAAGCTCCTTGACGATAGTGTTCGTACCGACGTTGAAGATCTGGCAGGCCTTGGAGACGAAGACAAACAATGTACCATCCCTGAGCAGGTGAACGAATGGATACATATAGTACGGTTGATTCTTTGCCAAAATGTCCATCGGGATGTTGTTGCCTTGAGTCACGCCACCCGGGCTGAGGATCTCGTATGTTGGATTGTTGTTCGAGAGCACAGTTGGGTTGAGACCGTTCAAGCTGCCAGATGCAACGAAGACGGTACCGTCGGGCATGGTCTGGGCAGTCGCATACCAGCGAGCGCTGGCTAGCTTGTTCCCAGGCTCCTTCCAATCTTGGCCATTGAGACTTGCATCCGATGAAGATCTTTGCAGATATCGAATTGCAGTAAAACCGTCCCCAATGTTCGGATCCAGCCAGGTCAATGGAGCATTGCCTCCAACAGAGATGACGCGGCCATCTGCTAAGAAGGTGCCTCCAGAGCAGAAAGCATTTGTCAAGTAGGCAAGTGGAACAGCTTTATTCGATTGTGGGTCGTATTCCGAAGACATAGCAAAGTAGCCATCCGCGGTCCTCAATTTGGTGTAGTTTTCTAGCCTGGGGCAAGTCAGCAATGTGCCGCACCCAACTTGAACAATCAAAGCGTGAGGTTTTTGAATGTCCCACAATTCGCGGAATACTGGGACAGAAGAATCAAACTGAACAATAGAGGTGGGTGAGTTCCACAACTCGAGGGCCATTCAGAGAGTGGAGGGTCTTTCAGAATGTCCTGGGAGCAGACTTAACAACGGAGGGGTGTGTACTTACTTGTCGAGGAACATTACTTGACCATTGGGCATCAGGGCAGCGTGCATTGCTGGAACTCCGGAATCGCCAACGACATTGAAGGAGCCTCCATTTGGTGCAGCCGGCGCTGGCTTGGGACCGGGAGCAGCGACAACTGGAGCGTTCAGGCAGTTGCCAGATTGACAGCCGGCTCCACAGTGGGCATCAGTGTTGCCGCTTTGAAGAGAAGAATGTGAGAAGTGTGGATAGTACAATGGGGACTGAGAAGTGTCTTACCAAAATCCGTACATACTACAGCAATTGCCATTTGGCCAGTTCCCGCAAACAGTGTTACCGTTTGCGGCTCCGCAAGTGCCTGAATTCCAGCGGATTAGCATTGCTTCAAATAAGGCGAGGATTGAATTGTATCTTGTTCCCGCCAGCTGGGGAACAACGCTTCGGGAGAGTGAGGACTCACCATCAGTAGTCGCTGCACCAGTTGCAGCAACTGAAGCTGGCATTGTTGCTGACATCCCGCCAATCACCGGCTCACCAGTCGTGGTTGGTTGTGCGCCTCCACCTGCGTTCCCCCCGGAACCGTCTGTACACCCGCTCTGACAGCCGTTCGCGACGAGACAATGCCCTGGTGTATTTCCGCACCAGCCGTATCTACCATCTGGAGTCAGCCCCGCCCAGTTCACGCTCAGAATAATATACGAACTGTGAGCAACATCCACCGGTATACGCCTTGCTGTTCGGATCACAAATTGTACCGCCATGAGCTGGACCGCACGTGCCGTCGACCGAATACGCTGGATTTTGTCTCTCTTGGAACTGTTGAAGCCCTCCTTCGAGCCATCGCTTTTCAGTTGGTACGCAGCTCCAGCCTGGTCAGCAAGGGAAGCTTTGACAAAAATTTCCAACACTCACTGGTTGTTCGAGTTGCAATCTTGACCGCGAAGACAGCCATTGCCATTGTACAGTTCCGTAGTATTGTAGCAGGTCAGCTCAGTGTGAGTGAAAATTATATTAGCGGAAGAGGTAGACGCAAGGCCTAAGAGAAGAGCTACAGCCTTCATCTCCCTAAAGGTATTGGAACTTTGTCAATTGATGATTTTGGGAAGATGTTGTTCTCGGGGAAAGAGATAAATGAAGGAATTAGGAAAGCAAAAAGTGAATGCTGTATTTGTACTGCATGTGGCCGTATGGCATTGGCTCATTCTGTTGAGCAGCTGTCTGCATCGCGGTTGACTGGGGAGCCGCAGTCATTCTATTGATAGAGTTGCAGGGGGGAGGGGTCGAATGAAACAGAACGACTCACGTTGATTCGAATGCTAATGTGCAAACGCGAGGTCGTGACTGGTCGTTTCGCGTAAGAGATGCTGTTTCTAAGAATCGAGGATAAAGAGTGCAGGAATAAGGAACGTATGCAAGATCCACGGGATAGGACTGAATCTTGCGAAGGATGCGAGGAAAAGTGATACGAGGTGTGATGTTGAAGAGGAGAAATTGGGGGGGGTTCGCTTGGAGTTGTTGATTTTCTGCCACTTTTGGCGAGTGGGTAAGGCACGATCACGACCACAATAGAGGAAGGTACGATGCGTAGATTAGCAGCAACCTTTTGGTCCTACTAATATTTGTAAAAATGCTACTCGTTCTCATGTCAACTTTTTTAATTAATTTCTTCAACGCAACTGTTACCACTCGATGCAGGTACACGTCCCATTCGGTTGGTTTTTTTGCATGCATGTAGCCCGTTGCCTCGGGAACTAAAAAGAAAAGGGGCCCGCGTCCCATTCGTAAGACTATTCAATGTCAAGACGTTGGTGATCGCGTTGCCATAGGTGACTTGAACCCTCTGGATTTGCAGATAATCTTTTCTTTTCAGTTGTCCTCGATGCACATTGGCTAGCAACAGATTGACGTGGTGTCACAGCATGCGGCCAGGAATCGGTGACCACTCGAAAGGGGTTCTGCTGAGAGTTGATATTGCCCAGACGGAAGCTAATGTAGCCTTTCGTCTCTTAGCCTCTGCTGGAGGCCGATCTTAGGGCCGATCTCAAATGGCGGTGGAGCAGCCCCTGGCCGAAACTGGCCCGGACATTTGACGGGGCAGTTTTTGCGCTTCGAGGAGGACAGCTGCGTAGCGAAAGCCATCGTACTCTGTTCCTCTTCTGGAAATGTGCTGCGCGCAAGACCCGTCGTGGTCCGGTTGAGCGGTTGAAAGTCTGATGCTGAACTGTGTATCTCCACTTCACCAATTCAAATCCTTCTTTGCAACCCCCATGACCTTCGCCAGCCCTTCCGTATTCTCGTTTACCTCAGTTGTACGGTTGTTTCTTGTAGCATCTTGCCTGCTCTTGGCCCCCTCATCCATATGCTCCTCCTCAGCATGCTCCCCCTCCATTATGTCCAAATCCAATCCCCACATCTCAACCTCCTCTTCAATCACCCTCTCCCACTTAGCAACCAACGGATGCGCCCCTGCAACATCCGGAAACGTCACTTCCATCCCATCCCCCTCCCCCGGAACCTCAAAACTCCAAACTCCATCCTCGCCCCACCACTCCCTCGCAAAAACACTCTTTGTGCCCAACTCCCCCTTCGCCGTCCCCAATAACCCCTCAACCCTCTCTGCCTCCCCCTTATACGCCTCTCCACCCCCTTTCAACGCCCCGGAAATGCCCTCCAACAGCCCGAGAATCTTCCCAATCCTCAGTCCCAGAACAGCACCAAGAGAATACCCCTCATCAAAGCCCTTCTGGACACTCTCCGCCTTGCCCTTCGTGACGCCATCTCGATACCCCTCTGTCTCATGCTTCTCTTTCAAGCGCGGGATATCCGAAAGCTCGAGGTTTCCGCTCCGTATTCTGGTTTCTTGTGCTAGATCCGCGTTCTCGTTCTCGTGCGAGAAGGTAGGCGAAGGAAGGGCAGAGCCGAAGACATCGTCGAAGTCATCGTTGGCGAATCGCTGCTCATGACGTGTCATCTCATCGCGGTGAATCGCCTCCATGACTGTGGCTGTGTGTGCAGGAAACTGATCCTCATCTCTGAACATGATTCCTTGCTTCCCCTGAGTCCTTCTTTGTCAACATTCTCTCGCTGAGGAGAGGGGGAAAAAACGAGTCGGCAGCTCTTATCTTAGCGCCTCTCGCCAGGCCTTATCGCCAAAGTGGGGCTCTCTCCCCTCGTGACCGCGTGACCGGGTCGCTGCATCATTTGACACTTTTGTTCGTTTGAGGGAAGAGTCACCTTTATCTATTCAAATAAGACAAAAGCTAGAAAAAGCAAATATCAAACGCATTGTTGTAGTAGTGGTTAACTGGTCTGCTTCCCAAACATGTTTCTGCTCTAACCGATTTTGGCTGGAGTGGTTATGGGATACAAAAAGCAGGAGACGTGGGTTCAAATCCCACACAATGCAACTCATTCTAATCTGACCTTTTTTTTGGTACTTTGGGTTTCGTAAGCTGGTTTAGTTACAATCAGATGGTTTTCGTTCGTTGTTTTAGTTCTTAGCTAACTTTAATTGCGATGTTTTGATAAAAAGGGGAGGAGCTATTAACCGAGGGGCTTCTCCAGTCTGGATCCTGATCCTTGCTCTTCTCGAACCCTGTTCTATTTATACAAAAGAGAGCATTATTCCTTGGTGGCTTGTAATCCTAACACCTCTATTTCGTCCTATGTTCCTGAACCACAAAGCATGCATTCCTGCTCCGGCTTTGCTGCTTTCTGTAATCTAACATAGAGCAAACGGAAAGTCAATAAATAACTAAATCAATTGCCCGCCAAAGAACAAAGCAAAAACCACACAGTACTAGAAGGAATTGGATAATAGCTCTTTCAATAAAAGAGCTTCTAACTACTATTGCAAGCTAAATTTAATATCTCGATCTAATAAGAGCCTTCATTGATTGATATCTCACGTGATTAATAGTAAAACTTTCTCTCGAGAGTTCCGTCATATGCAAACCAATGTCACTTCCCCCTTTGTTGTCGACCCCTTTGTTCTCGGCCCATTGAGCAACCGCACTAGTCTCCATTGATCGCCAGATTTGCAAATATGAGTGATTATCTGGTGCAATGAACCGGGAAATTGACGGAATTTAACTGAAGCCAGCATATGAGAGGACTCGTCCCCTGATTATATAACCTTTATCACGTATAGAAGTAATAGAAATTGACTTTCTAATCTGGATAAATAGAACACATCTCGAACCTCTTCTCATTTAGGTTCGAGGAAGATGACTGCGAAATTTCAGGCCTAAGAAGCTTGAACTTTTAGTGCTGCAAGCTGCAAGCTGAAAGCTGACAGGGGCCTGGAATGTAGATCTCCCGACTAGTGATTTCGAAATCAGAGCTCAACTTTCTCCCCTGAAATTCATTTGAGCCATCATCGCCGTTGAAACCCTCATCCAAATCACGATAGTATTCTTCCATCCCATCTCAAATACAGCATGTGCCTCAAACTCGAGCGTTGAAAACAATTTGACATTTGAGCCCGTGGCGTTCCAGTGAACAGTTCCCCCAATCAAGGGTCCAAATTATCCCTGTCCCGGCCAATCGTTCACGATTCCTGCGTCACCCCTGCCACAGGTCTTCCCCCGCACGACCAGCAGCTGGGTTTCGCCGTGCCACCAAAAAATACATAGAAAAGGCCAACACGCCCTCAGCTCACTTTCGACCTTTTCTACACGTTCACCACCGTCGCTACCATCAACGATTTCTTGCGTCGTCAACTTCGCACGAACTCCATTCAACATACGTCAATCGCTCACCTGCAGCTCGACAAAAATGAAGTGCTCCATCCTCGCCCTTGCGGCTGTGGTCAGCTTGTCCGCAGCTCAGAACCTGAGCGGCGAGCCAGCTTGCGCTGTACGGCCACCTCTTCCACCCACAACACCATCACCAATGGAGCTCCAGCTAACCTCCCCCCTCACAGACATCCTGCCTCCTGTCCGCCATCTCCGCCGCGGGCTGCGCACCCACCGACATGCCCTGCCAATGCGGCCTCCCCTCGGACGTCGTGGGTCCCTGCCTCATCGGCGCCTGCGACGCAACCGATCTCCAGCAAGCCCTGACCGTCGGCCTCGCGCTCTGCTCCTCGTACTCCGCTACCCACAGCGTCTCCTCGACCGCCATGCCCGGAAACATGACCACGTCCAGCGTGCTGTCCACCTCTTCGACCCCGTATTCTAACAAGACCGTGACCGCCAAGACGACGAGCTTCACGAGCACGAGGACAACGCGTGCGGGTGGGAGCGGTGCGACGACAAGCCCAACGAGCACGATTAGCAAGGCGGGCGCACCGGCGTTGGTTGCGGGTATTGGAGGTGTGGTGGGAATGTTGGGTTTGGTTGCTGCTCTGTAGGATCCACTTGGACCAATAAAAGTCATAAGGGGAGGGGGCGAAGTGGAGGAGCTGCATGGAAGTGGATGGATGAACTACCTTTCAGTCTGATATGATGGCATTAGGATCTGAATTTGGTGTGAAGGAAAGCTGGATTATGTTCTGGCTGGGATAATGGTTGGGAGGAATGCATGGAGAGTAGGCCGAAAGTTCAAGCAATCGAAATTTTTGGTGAAGCTGTTTTGGGATTCATTGAGTCGTTACCAAGGTAATTGTAAAGGTGTTGGGAGGTCCGTCCCGATTGTCACGTCTGCAGTGCCGATATCTCCTGTTCAATTGATCAGTATGAAATATCGCGGGGGAGGAAGAAACGAACGAGGTCCTCGAGGAGCCCAATATTGCCCCGTTTTACTCATATCCAGCTTCTCCGTCCACTCAATCAAGCTCTTCGCCGCTTCATCTGGGGTAACAGCTATCTCCCACTATCAGCACTCTCCTCTCTTCCCCCTCCCAATCTAATTTCAAACCCCCAACCAAAACCCACGAAAATGGAGGGAAGACTCACCGCCCCCATCATCCCAAAACTTATCAAACCCCACACCTTTCGTCATCTCCGTCCTCATAAAGCCCGGGTGCACAATCCCCACCACAACCCCCTGATCCTTCAAATCCAAACTCAACAATTTCCCCACCATATTCAGCGCGCTTTTACTAGCATGGTGTGCGTAGTTGCCTCCTCCTTCTTTCGAATGGCGGAGAGTGATGGAGCCGGATTCCGAGGAGACGAGGAGGACCTTGGAGCCGGGGCGGAGGTAGTTGTTGGAGTGGAGAGAGTGGATCAGGAAGGGGGGTGCGATGGAGGATGTTGTGCTGTGCGCTGTTAGGAAAAATTGAGAGGGGGAGGGGAGAGAGAAGCATACTACATCCTAACCTCCTCCTCCCATTTGGGTCCCGTCTCCCAATCTTCAGTCGCGAAGTACCCTGCTGTTATGATCTGCCACCTTATCAGCCCTGTCCTCGCCTCCCCCCTCTGCCATCCACAGAACAAATCCCAGACACAACTCACCACAACGTCCAAACCCCCCTCCACCCCAAGGCTGCCCAATTCCTCAACTAGCTTCTTCCCAACATCTGACTGATTGAGATCTATGCCCTTCGCCCATTTTATCCTCTCATCATGTCCCTTTCCTGTAGGTGGTTCAGCGGAGCGGGTCGTGCCGTAGACTGAGGTGTAGGGCCGCGAGGCATATTGGTTTGCGAGGGAGGCGCCGAGACCGCGGGTTGCGCCTACGATCAGGATGTTTGGCATTGCGAACTCGTGGGAGAATAGGGGAAGAGGTTGAAAGAGTTGGAAGGCAATTGAGGAAGGATGAAGGGGTGATTAAGGGGAAATGGAGGAAGAGAGGGGCCTGTATGGAGCTGATTAAGTGGATGACGTGATGGCTGGAAGCTCTTATCTTATCGAGTACTTCAGTGGAAGAAGGCGGTTTCAGGGATGATGCTCTGTGGCAGGGGAGGTACAGGGGAGGCGGGAGGGCTTGGCGCTGTATTTAACGTCGTACATGCCCAGACCATTTTCTGACTGTTCTTCTTCTCTTTTGAACTAAATCTCAACACCATAATTTAGTTACCTTGACAACACATCACACTATGCGTGCATTGCTTCCATTGTGCAGATTTGTCTATTAACGAAGCTTCTGGTTATTCTCGTCTGAGTGTGTTATTCTATTGTGGCATGAAGCTCAAGTTCAAGTCGTGTGCCATATTCAGAGTCCTAGTCTCAATGCTCTCGAATTTCTTACCCTTTGTGCAAGCAATGATATAATGGAGACTTCCCGCTCTCCTTACATTGGATATTTTCTGCTTTGCCGACAAGTCGGGTACTTCCTCGCCCAGGTAGTTCCTCGTCAGCCGTGTTCTCTTCCTAGAACTCGATCTCTCTGTGCTTTCGAGTGCCTTTTCCTTGCTCTACTCCTGATAGTATAAAGACCTATCGATTGAACATCGACTTATACGATGACTTCTCTGAACATGTTATCAAGGCACTGGCCTTGCCCATGTGACCTTACCTGCCGAATTTCCGGCCACGAAGCCATTCAACTTCATATACTAAAATAAGCATTTTTCGTTTGCAAACAATCGAGCAATCGCTGGTAAGTTTAACCACCCCTCGCAATTGACATTTCGCCTCAACTAACAAACGAGCAATCGCTTGTGAAGTTAAGACACCGTCTCGTCCGTAATGACGTTAAACTTCCCGGCCGGAAAAACCTGTGTGCAACCTACATCGTGCTTGGTCCGCCCACTGCACGAGCGCAAGGAGCCAAAATGGTCCTCCCTCCCTCTCCCTGCTCTTCGGAGTGGGCCAGTTGGAAAAGGTTTCAAACAACTCAGTTCGTCTGGTTGTACTAGCCTCTCTGCGAAGAGGTGAGGTTTTGCCGTTTTGCTCTTAGCTAGGTTCTCCTCCTCCTCTTCCTTTGCAACCGCCGAAATAAAGTAATGGTTCTCGATGGAGAGAACGACCGCAAGGCTCAGTGATAAGGTGCAAATTTTTGGTTGTTTTGTAAATTTTTGGCTGCCCCTTTTAGCGAGAGCTTTCAATAGACACAACCCTTCGTCTCGAGCGTATTCAAAGCCGCCTCATCTCGCTCTAACAATCCTTTACCAACTTCCAACATCACTTTCAGTCCCGATCTTTTAATCGACCTCGATGCAACGTCTTTCCCGCACCTCACGAAAGCGTGTCACCTTACCACGCGCCATGGCCATGTCAACTGAGAGTGCATCAGGTCCCGCTCCTCGTTCTCCTTCTCCCACGAACATAGCCATCGGCGATGCAGTCGAGAACGCGAACCAAGATCACTCCTTCGTCTTGTCAACACCTCCTGCTCTTTCTCCTCCAATCTCTACTCGCGACGACCGAATGGAGAACGCGAGTCAACATAACTCGTTCGTCGTGCCAGCTCCTCCATCTCCTCTCCCCGCGAACGTAGCTATCGTCAATCCAATCGAGAACATGAACCCAGATGACTTGTCCATCATGTTAGCTCCTTCCGCGAACAAAGCCATCGTCG